TCTTATCTTTCTCCTTGTATATCTTCTGGTAGAACGAGACGTAATTACATTAAAATCCATGCACGCAAGGAAAAGTATAAAAGTTCTATAATACCTTACCTAGCAAATATACTCTGTGACGAACAAGTTGTTAGAATTAACCTAGTCAATAACTTGCATTATTAACATGTCCTTAATTCTAAAAGTTGTACAGTTTTTCGGGTTTTTTTTTCTATTTTTAAAAAAACATCTTTTTTTTGTATTCGTTACTGTTTTTTTTGTTGTTGCGTAAGTAACTTGTTGAAATAACCTGTGTTGAGAATTCTATATTGTACCAAAACTATAATATTGAATAGAGCCATTAATAATAATAATAATAAATCCACTTAGTTATACAAATGTAGATAATTGTTTACTGCCGTTTTCGACTTTTTGCGATACTATTCCTTCACCAATTATTTATATTGACACAATTGTTGTTTTTTTTATAAAAAAAATTAGCTAGTGATTCTGTTACATATGACGATTGAAAACAAAATGTTTTTCTACGGAAACGTTTCTTCTAAAGAAATTCAGTATTTATCTATGTACATATATATAACAAACAATGGTAATGTTTTTAATTTCATGTATGTATGAGTTGTTTGAATAAATGTCTAGCAATAAACATCTGAACTAAGGTCATGGAAACTTTATTTTACAAGCTTTAGAATACATTAATCTAATCTTCAAAATACTCCACATCTGTAGCAATAAATATGCCCGATCTTTATCTACATTACTCTAAATATCCATGAGAAACTATGGAATTCTTCAAAAATCAAGTTGTCCAAACAACTTTATGTTTCGTGTATTATCGTCTCTATCCTTTCTCAATGCAGCCATAAATGAATATTTCAACTGTCTGGAACAAAAGAAGACTGCAGTCTCTAGAAAAGAGAGTGAACTTGTAAATGATCTAATTAGGGTCCAGAAATATACCACTAATCAATCCAGACATTACCATTTGTCATTTATTAGTTGATTAAAGACAGGATACCACAGTCAGACCGGATTTTCTCTTAAATACAATTCAGTTGGTCTTTTGTTTTGTTATATTCATAACTAACAATCGTAGTAGCTGTGTTTGTTTATTTATTGAAAAGACCATGCACAGAATAATAGGTTGTCCAATTTAGATGTGCATAGTTGAGAGGGGACAAAGATTTTAGAACTTTTGTTCTGTTTCAAGATTATATTTGATTCTAGTTTAGACCTCTGATATTATCTCAGTGAAATATGTTTGTGAAACTCCTAATTACTAAAACAACGTTTTGTCCTCAAAGTAATACAATTACAAACTATTAAAGTTGGAGGTGAGGGACAATATTTTTTAGCTTGGTTGGATTTTATTGACCTTGTTGTGCTCTTTGAGCGTGTTGGAATCTTTGACTGGAATTCAGAATAATATTGTTAGCTTCTACAATTTAAAGTAATCACTGATAATATTCAGAATAACAACAAAAAGTTCACTGATATCAACACCAACAAGCGTTAGTAAACTGAGTTTAGAAAGTATAGATAAAAAGCGTGATAATCACGCTACAGTAAGTCCTTAACACAATATAAAAGATGTAATCACAAATAATTAATGAGAAACTTGACAAGATTGAAAGTTATGTAATTTCACTAAATTGATGGAATTTTCAAGTTCTGATACTTGTTCAATAAATTAACACCATAACGTTAATCAAAGATAGGTTACGTAATGGAAACCAATACACAGCTTCAGAACAAACATAAAGTTAATTAACTAAGATCAATAGTATCTAGAGAGAAAAAAAATCGGATTTATTTATTATTTGTTAGATGTGTATTATCCTGAAAATCTGCTTTATTTATTTATTTATTTGAACACATAAATATTGGTACAAGAGGGCACCAAATTTATATATGCGCCACACAAGGTCATTTTATTCTATTTGTGTGTGGGCTGTGATACTGCCCGGGTGCCCAAACCGAAGCAAGTGGTTTTCTTAGGGGGCCACTCCCCGAGCCTTCGACCTAAAGGTCTAACCCACAAGGCAGTAGAGCATCGTGAGGAGATGCAGTTCCATGGAAGCCGGTGACCAACGATTGGTTCATACGCCATTTGTTCCTTCAGGATCCTGGAGCCCATGTGCACCATTGGTTTGGAATCCGGTTAAAGCGTCGGACATTCGCTTTTTGTCCTCTCATTTTCGTAAACAACAGTAATTCCACGAGAGTAGGACTTCCCTGGTAGAGACTATATACGCGTGTCAGTGTAAGAGTATTTCGAGAGGGAGGGCGGGCCCACCCCACTTTCGGCCATACCAGGGCGTTTGGGGGCTGAAAATCTGCTACTAAATTTGTTACATGTTTTAAATTAAATTAATAGAAATTAAGTTGACTTTTCAGACATATTTTGTGCGTCATTTTTTCTAATCAAATTTCTGAATCAAATAATTTTCAAAAGAACAATTTGTTAATGGATTGATCTTGATTAATATAAGAAATCGAATGGGGAGAATTTATAAATTGAATGGGTTTGAACTAATATCCGACATGTATATAATTATCTATTTGTATATTTGAAGCATATAAACACTTCAAATGTTTTGACTAAAATTCATTATCTTCGTTTCAAGAAGCTAAAATGTTGTATTTAATTTTTAATATTTTATAAACCAACTCTGTAAAGAGTGCAAACAACAATGAAACTTGATTCCAGGGCATTCAAACATGTAACAGTAAGTAAAAGGTATCATGAAATCGATTCGCTTAATATGGTAGTCACATGGTAATTTATTAGTTAGAATTATATGATCACTAAAGATTAAAGAAAATGACAGTAATTATGACTCGCCGATAACTTATTTCTACAAAGTGTTATTCATAACTTAAGTAGAATGATGGTAACACATTAATCTATTATAGTTGATAGAATATGTTTGAGTTTCTTTCCAAGATTAACATTTCCTTAAGAAATGCATATAGAAACCTTTCAATTCCAGGGCTTTCTACAACTCTCTTCATTCGCATAATATTTCTCCAATTAACAATATTTAATGTACAAAATAGTATGATCAATACGTGTAAACCATCATTTTTCTCTTTAAGCATAGACTTTTAAAAAAACTCTTATTCAGTTAAAAATGTTTACATCATATATTCTACGTTTTACATGGACGGTAGATTTATGACTCCTGGTTATTTTTATCAATTATTCAGTCAACATTCTTAATAAGTATTCTGAAAATTCACTTGATCTATTTATTAACTAATATATAAAGGTTTATAAGCAAAGATGGATGGTGGATAGCAGTGGAATCCAGGACATGCATTTCGTTCTATTTAGAACTCGTCACCTGGATGTACCTGCATCTCAGAGTTGATGTTCGCCTTGCGACTCGGACACAGTACTGCAAGCTTCAAACTCCATCGCGTTATCCATTTAGCTAATGAGTCCTGATAGCCACCTGCTTGTCTAATGAGTCCCAGAGTGAACATCAACTCTCTGAGATGCAGATACATCCAGATGACTAGTACCAAATAGGACGAAACGCGCATTCGGGATTCCACTGCTATACTCTATCCATCTCTGATTATAAAGCTTACGATGTAAAGCAATATCGAGGCAGTTCGCACAGTATGCACATATGCCAACAAGAGACTAGTCAATTTCAGTCCTGAACAACAATGGGAAGATACAAACAAACAACACTAAGTGAATTTAATACAGAAAGGATTAGCATTTATTTTGTGTTTTATCAATGTTAACCAATTATATACTGCATCATTTAAATTTAATCTATTATACAAATAGATTTGGTGAAAATGTAGTATATAAATCAAACATTAAATACTCTCATATAGGCTGCACTGCGTAAATACTAATAATCCTTGATTCTATATTGTATAGGTTTACATTTCTTATTAGTCCCAAAACTAAGAACCAATCAACATCAAAGTCTACAAAACAAGCTGTGAGCTATATGTGGAGAAATTCAACTACTTCACTTCTATCTGAATTTCAAGCTGATGATATCATTCAAAAGAACAATAAAAGCTCCAAGATCAAACCCTTCAACTCAAAGAATAAAACTTCATCACCGTTTTCATTTGGTTAGTTTTCTTTCACTGATATTCACAAATGGTCAAAAAACAAACTATCTTCATAAATTAAATGATTATTTAAAGTACAAATAAGTAAACTTCATCTTTCATTTTATATTACCTAATAAAAAAAAAAACGTTTTGTTTTGCTTATTAAAATAGGGACTACTAACAACTATGAATTAGCATATTAGTTAGTTACTTAGTTAGTTATTCAATGAAAATATATTTGTCTGATAATATTCAGAAAAAAAGTCGTTTCAATCACATAAGAGAAAGCTAAATATGTAGCTGATAAGCTTTTAGTGTTTTTCTCATTTATTTATTTATATTATTACTGATATTTGTTATGTTAAGGATTACACTTTATCCATTATTGTAGTGAACAAAAACACCAGTGGGGACAACTGTATACATCTTGCAAAAAAATGCAGAGTTACTTGGTAAAATAGAACAACACTATAGTAAATCGTTAATTTGCAAAATATTAATCCATCATATCAAACTGGACTGTTCCTATTGCAAACATCACTCCATTGTCTCACATTTCATTGTTCATGAATTGTGTTCCCGCTCTTCCTTTCTTGATCTTCTCCCATCTTCTGCTGCCAGACATTACGTTTCTAACTCACAGCATATACTACTTATATCAATATAAGTAGCATGTACCACACTATTACTTCATATAGCTGATAAATAAACTGTTAACGTCATTCCCTATTATTTTTATTATTATACTTTAGACTAAGGAAATTCAATGATTTGCTTTTGTTTCTAACTACCAATATCTATGTGAAAGTGTTTTCATTCTAGATATAATTACAAAATTGTAATAATTTATACTAATTTGATAAGTGTATTTTATCTTTCCTTGTAATTCTGTAGTATTACGAAAATTGAAATCTATGTATGATTATGTTCTGTCAAGTTTAGACCATTGTTTAAAGATTTTCTCTATTTCCATAATACATTTAAAAGCTAAATGTTTTGTCAGTGAATATAATACTTTATTAAATCATAGTAATCATTATTCAATAGGTAGATGATATAACATTCAAACACTGTGAATAATAGTTTATGTTCAAAACAAATGCATTTTCTGAAAGTAGAATTATTAACCGACTAACGTTATTTTGAGAATGGTTGAAAACATCGAAGAATTAGATTAGGTCTAAATCTCAATAGTTCATACGCATAACTTTAATGCAGGGATGGATCCATGACCTTTACATCTCACAATGAGCAAAACGCTATTCATTTATATACAAGCAGTCAATACTTTTAATTCCAGTGGATTGTGAATGTTTCGACGGTTTTCATAGAGGTACATAAATACACTCAAAGGGAATTCTCACTCACAAATTTATTAAAAACAGCATAACAAGGAAATGCTTGAAACTGAATTTCTTTTCTATGTAAAATTATTTATTTGTCAATTATATAAGTAGCTTAACTAATCTCATTCAGTCAATTATTTGAAAATTTTTCATTATATTAGGGTCTATAATAAAAAAAACTGAGGGAACCTGGAAGTTAAACAAATATTTACACAGATAACATGTGTCAGTGAATAAGATATGGGTGTCTAAATGACTGAATTTCGGATGATTAGGAGGCTGCTACACGACTCTTTCATTATTTTGTCGAGAATGCAGTCAGTGAAGTTGAAAACAGTGACAAGAAACAAGCAATGCTATATATATATATCTTTTCTAGATCCTGGGGTTTTACTTAGTGGAATTATTTCTGCATCGAAACTTAGTTCTGTAACCCCATTTGAAACATTATAGAAACTTTCTGTCAACTCTTCTGGTACTTGAGAAATGCTCTGGTACAGCGGATGATGGGAAGAGTCCTCTCTCCCTCTTAAAACACTGTCACATGAATACGCTTATACAGCTACTGACAGGGCAGTCCTACTCACTACCTTCTCACGGTGAGGGTGTTGTTTACAAAATTGAAAGGACTTAGAGCGAATGTCCTACGTTCTAACAAGGTTAGTGAATATGGAGTGTCTACCTTGGAGAGTTGGAAAATCCTGATTCCAAACTAATGGCGGATATGGGTTCCAGGATCTTGAGGGAACAAATGGCGTATGAACCTATTGTTGTTCACCAGCTACTGTGGGACTGCATCTTCTGACATTGTTCCACTGCCTTATCAATTAGACCTTCAGGTCAAAGGCTCCGGGTGTGCCCCTCTAAGAGAACCATCTGCTTCAGTTTGGTCGCCCAGGCAGTATCACACTTCTCGCACAAATAAAAAAAACTACTACAGGCCTCATTGTTATTGTGTGATGCATATGTGTTCAGATAAATTAAAGAAAACTTGAGAAATAAAACTAACTGGTTCTTTAAGTTGACCAGTTGAGACTTAGTAACTACCGTAATGTATTCTCTTAACATATATTTGTAGTTACAGTTTAAGAATTATAGTGAACCGATAAACAACCATTTACACTAGATTACTGATAAACCAGTGTATATATTCCAACATATAGATTACTTTAAAAAAATAATAATAAAAGCTCCAATTTTGTTTAGCTTATCTATTTCATTTATTTTTTTGAAAAAAACAAAACAAATTTACGTCCTTACAAAAAATGTCTAGGCTACAAATTTTTGTCTCCCTGTCTCTATCTATCTCTTTCTCTTTCTCTCTCTCTCTCTCTACACACACATCGATCAATATTGTTTTTTGGTTACTCATATACATACACAAATTTACAACATAACATTATAGATTGAACATAAAAATAAAGATGCAAAATAGAAGACATATCTATCTCCACAAAAACCCTTTGTAAACATACCTAATATATTGAGAAATGTTTACAATTCTACAATTCGTAAACACAATAAACTAAATATATTTGTTGTTTGTTCTATCATTTTTGTAAACAGATTCCCATAATAAAAACACAGAATAAGTAAACATCTATCATATACTATATACATATAATAGAACTATTCATTCATTCATTCATTCATTTATCATTACTATCAAACTATTGTCATGAATAGGCTTAGTGATAAAATATATGAAGATAGTCTGTTGATTGAAGGTGACAATATTCTCATAAGAAAATATAAAACACGAAAGAACTCATGGTTAAAACAATGTTTCTCTAAATGTTTTATTCTACAGAAGTTACGTAATCATATTCATTTTATTTATAATATAATTCAATGGAGAAAATATTTAATTAAATTAATTTATTACATTAGTTTCTATGTCATTATTTGTATTTTATTTATTATTTATATGTATAGTTTATTTTATTTTACAATCTTAGCTGATTATCCTAAATTAACTGGATTACATAATCAATTAAAATTGAATCCAGGTTTATCTATAATACCAAATTCAAATCGTTTAACAAGTCTTATACATTTTTATACATCAAATCCTGTATCTTATTCATCTATGATAGATGAAATGACTGGATTTTTATCTTATTATCAATATCATATTATTGGTGGTATGTTTGAATCATGTGAAATGAATCCAAAATTATTAAATATGAGACGTCCATGTCGTTTTAATTTAGATTCAAGTGGTCCATGTAATTTAAAAAATGGTTATGGTTATTATGAAGGTAAACCATGTTTTATTATTAAATTAAATCGAATTTATGGTTGGTTACCAATACCATTAAATAATTATACTAATATTTTACTTAAATGTGAAGGTTTAACTAAACTTGATTCAGATTATTTAGGTAAAATATGTTATTATGATAGTGATTCATTAAAACAATATCATTCATTAAATAATGATATAGATTGGTGTTATAAAAATTATGGTATTTATGATTCAATGTTTTATCCTTATTTAAATCAAGCTGGTTATCAATCACCATTAGTATTTGTACATTTTCTTAATCCTAAACGTCATGTTATTATATGGATAAAATGTTATGCATTAGCTAAAAATATTCATTCAAATGAAGGTTCTATTGTATTTCAAATACTTGTTGATTAATTTCTAATACAAAATACAATTTCATTCATTCATTCATTCATGTTTGTTTCTTTCTTTGTTTAAATGTAATTCGATATTCATTGTCATATTGAAAAAAAGTAGACAAACAAATAAACAACAAACGATTAAATTTTGTAAAACCAGCTAATTATTATTAAAAAAACAACCAAACATTCTTATGAAAACAAGATTGGTTCCAATCGAGAATGAAACCTGCAATTCATGTAATTGAAAACATTTCATACCGTTTTTTATTTTGTTTGTGCTTCTGTTTTCACCATTTGTTTTTATTGTTGTTCTTGTTGTTGTTGTTGTTGCTATCGTTATTGTTGTAATTAACAAAATGTCTGAATGTAATTATCATTATTATTATTGTTATTAAATGTAATATATTGGATATTACATGTATTTTTTAAAATAACTATTTATTCTATTCATTAAAAATTCAGTAGTTGATTTTAAAAAACAATATTTTTGATTTGTTTTTTTTGTTTTTGTTTTGCATATTTAAACAAATGGTTATGTTCAATGTACAATGTATGTTTTTTCATTTTGTAAGAGTAATATATATATATATATCATTTGATTTTAAACAAAAAAAAACAGTATCATGAATGAAGGAATTAAATAATTTACATAATTTTTATTCTGTATTTAATTATTATTAGAAAAAAAGAGTAATCTTTTCTTTGTTTGCTTGTTTGTCATTGTTTCATTTGAAAATTATGAATATTGGTGAATAGGGAAGCAACATCTAAAGATATCATCTATTACCTATTTAAGTTCATATCTTCCATTTTCGAAATAAAATCAAAGATGTCTTTCACGCTTCTGTTGACGACTAATTTGTGTAAGGGATTTAAAATTCGAACTAGCCACTTTGCAGTTTTATGATAAGGTGAATTATACATATCTAGAACTAGGCGAAGAGAAAGACCTGTCTTGTGAACTTTAGGAATATATATCATGTAATATATTATTACTATCAAACTGTTGTAATGAATATGTGAATATGGGAATATTTCAAATTATGAATATACAATTCGTACTGGATGATTTTCTTTCTTTATATTAAAATCTTCGATTGTTTGATTAATCTCTGGTAGTCATTTTGCTATTCTACTGTTATGTAATGCAAACTTATAATAATCATATTGTTCGTACTTAGTAATTTTAGTAAATGGTAACAAAAGTATTTGTTATTGCTAATATGGAGACTAGCAGATAATTGATTTGGAATACATTATAATCCGACTTGAATCTTATAATCTGTGTCTTTCTTACATTTCTAAAATGAAATGTATCACTACTTATATTGATAAATATCTCTATCTTAAATTATATACAACAATTCAGTAGTATAATCAATGTCGCTTAATTAAGTTATTCATCACTGTACTCGTTGTTAATAAGTTGTGCTTCTCATAAAGCTACGACTAGTTTGTATTTATAGATGTACAGGTATAGCGTTTTCATTGTAAAGCATTTTAAATGACTATAACAAGAGTTATATCTTTAATAGTTGAGATGATGAAACAATTGAAGCTAGACCATTTTGGAAAACTTGAAAACTTTAAACGACCGTTTTGTCCCCGCGGGATTTGAACCCAGGATCTACCAGTCTTACGTGCGAACACTCAACCTCTAGACCATTTTCTTTTTTATGTTTGTCTATATTCGAGCAAGGTTTTGTGTGAATACATGTGACATGTTTTGTTTTTTAGGGCATCCGTTGACCTATCGATATATATCATTACAAATCAGTTGTCAAGCTGAAATTGATTGTTTAAGTATGACACCTAGAATTTATGTGAAATATTTTCACCCATGCTAACACACAAATTAAAGATTAAACTAATGGTTTGTTCTACTAGCCAAGTTAATAGATGAATAAACAACAACATAAGCTACTGATTAAATGTACTGAGCACTTTTCGACTTGAGGAGAATATTTTTCAATCCATTCTATGAAATATGAATTTCGAAGTCCTTCAACCATACGTCATGACAAATATTTTAAATAATAAAACCTAAACATAAAATTCATAAGAGATTTCTACTTTGAGTTTACTGGAGCAACACTTAACTCACAAAGAAAGGAGAATATCTAGTGAATAGTGACTAAAATAATGGTAAGATAAAATTAAACATAAACAACAAACAAACAAAATATAGTCGTCTTTTATATTTGACTAAACGCCAAATTTGATAAATCACTTAGTACAATAGATAGAATGTGGTTATTAGTAGAATCCGAAATGTTTTTTTCTTTTCTATTCGGGACTTATAAGCTGCTAGCTATTCTGAAAATTGGCTATAATGAGATAATCAGTGAAGGATACATATATTATCAACTACGACTGATCTGATGTGGTGGTTGGAGGTAGTCGACAAGGAACCCTAGGTTTCGTGTTATTTATCACTCGTCAGCAACCTATGCATGTAATCTTGTGGAAACTGGTGCCCCCCCCTACTTGATTCAATCTCATGTCACCACGCTTCACAGTCAGAGAATTTAAAATTGATCTGTATTAAGCAGAACATGACACATATGACATTGGTCACTATACAGTGATCATTCAATTGTAAGAATGACCTAAATTCAGTCAAGAATTTCAGTTATGGGATAATTCAATACATTACAAACTAAATTAAGGAAACCTGTTATGAATCAGATAGAATGACAGTTTGTACATTTAAAGCTGAAAAATACGATGAAAATATTTACGACTGAATTGCTTCACAGGACTATTTGCATCGAGTGCAAGTAATTTAATAACGATATCATATAGTTAAATATGCCAATTTATTTCCAGTTCGACTGTTAACTCAGGATGAAACCTAAAAACGTGCATGTTTAATTTTGTGTTGTATTTAAATTTATAGCACCATCAACAACACCATAGATTGATCTTAATTCTTAAGATGCACGATTTCACCAATCAGTTCAAAATTGACAATAAATGGCTCAAAATTCCCAAAGTTAAGCTTTTTCCATGAGACCTGATGGTCCTAGTTTCAAACAACGAAAGATTCTTGAATGCCTTCTTCCAAAGAATGTCATACCAAGATGAAATAGCCATCAAATGCTTTTTAGTTTCCAATAGTTGTCTAACAGAAACCATTTCATGATGTAAACTAAGAAGTTCGACCAACATTATAGATCTTCGGGAGTTTTATTTTCGTCCCCTGAAGTAATAATCTACAATGTCCATGCATTCATTTGTAAAACGATCAAACAATACTGCCCATTGTTATTTATATCATCTATGTATTAGGTAGCTACAATTTAACGTCAGTGTAGGACGATTAGAAGAGATAGAGGGAAATAAATGTTTAAAATTACTAAACACATTATCAGAAAGCTGTTTAGTTTTCTGTTTTGTTCAAATTTTGATTTTGTCCTTGTACTCAGTGAAACCTGAAGGTGATCTTTTTGTATCAAGAAAATATTATTGTCGTTATGTCGTTTAGTGTAAACAAGTATATGTCATAGGAATGACTACAATTTGGTTTACATTTAAAAAGCATGGATTAAAAGATATCGATAAGAATTCATGAAAAGTTTTTTATGTTTGACAAAACTTACTCATTGACAGATTTGTATTTATATTTGTACATGCATATGTATATGTGTGAGTGGATTGGATAATGCTGGTCGGTGGCCTATGCTCCATTAGGAGTAACAGGCGTAAGTAAATAAGTAAGTAAGTCTTGTCAAAAACATAAAACCATTGCATTTTCAAAATACAATGTTATTAGTTTATTTATTTGAATAATTAACGGTTTGTTTTAGATATGAAAATATTTGCAATAAACTGATAGGTTTCAGAGGTCATACCCTACTAGAGCCGGTGGATATTTACAGTCAGTTTGAATGCAACAGCATTAAATTAGAAAACATGGAAATTTTTTTTACAAAATCAACAGATTTTACACCTATCAGCATACTTTAACAGAATTAAAATCAAATTGACTCGCTCAATAATCAAAAATACTTTTGAATATAACTCAAAGATTGGTAATGAAATCGATGGTTACCAATAAAATAATTTCATTTAAGCAGTTTCAGCGGTTGAATTTTATTCATTTCAGTAGTGTGACGATGATCGATAACAAGTTACTTAAAGTTGGAAATGTGAACTATCAATCTTAGACTCAACGATATAAAAAAAATTATGATTTCATCAGAAAAGAAAGGCGTTGGATCCGATCCCATATGAGGAATCTCAAACTAGGTCACAATAACTTTCTAGTTCTGTGTTACCTTAAAATCACGACATACTTACTTATTTACACCTGTTACCGCTCGTGGAAGAGCATAGGCCGTCTACTAGCACTCTCCATCCAACTCTGTCCTGGGCAGTACTTTCCAGTTCATTCCAGTTGTTATTCATCCTTCTCATGTCTGCTTCCAATTATCGACGTAACGTGTTCTTCGGCCTTCCTCTTTTCTGCTTCCCTTCAGGATTTCAAGTTAGGGCTTGCCTCGTGATGCGGTTTGGTGGTTTCTGTAATGTATGGATGGTTGGTGAATGAGTGGATGCCGGTTTGCTCTCTCCTCCAGTAGGCGGTTGCTGATAGTATTCGATCAACGAATGTTGCGTAGACAATTGTTTATAAATACGTTTACTTGTTTGATGATGGTTGTGGTAGCTCTGAAAGTTTCAGCTCCATACAATAAAACCGTCTTGATATTCGTATTGAAGATTGTGACTTTGGTGTTGTTTGGCAGTTGTTTTGAGTTCAATATGTTCTTCGATTGTAGGAATACGGCCCTTGCTTCGCCGATCCTCACCTTAACGTCTGTATCTGATCTTCCTTGTTCATCGATGATGCTTCTGGCGTACGTGAAAAATTCTACATATTCCAGAGCTTCTCCATCAAGTATGATTCGGTTGCTATTCTACGTGTTGTATTTGAGAATCCTGGTTTTTCCCTCGTGTATGTTGAGGCCTATGGATGCAGAGGTTGTTGCTACACTAGTTGTCTTTATCTGCATTTGTTCGTATGTATGGGATAGAAGGGCCAGATCATCTGAGAAGTTCAAATCTTCTAATTGATTCCGAGTTGTCCATTGTATTCCGTGTTCCCTCTCAGATGTCTAGGTTTTCATAATCCAATTGACCACCAGTAGAAAGAAAAAGGGTGAGAGTAGACAGCCTTGTCTAACACCCGTTCTTACTTGAAATACATCTGTCAATTGTCGTTCATTCATAACTTTGCAGTGTAATCCGTCGTATAAATTCCTTATGATATTAACAATCATTTCAAGTACATCCTAATGTCAAATAAGTTTCCATAATGATCTCCTGTCCATATTATTAAATGCTTTCTCATAATCGTGATA